CCGTATTAGTACGTACGTACGTACGCACACACACACACACATACGTACATACATACACACACACATAGTAACATGATACATAGATAGTACCTGATAGATGTGAATAAACAAGATGTACAATCTGTTTACTTATTTATTGATCAGATTGAACATTTAAACTATAGTCAGTTAATTTTGGAAAAGATTTTAGGGACAAAGGGAGAGACACAGAGAGACACAGAGAGAGAAATGCCTATTAAACTTTATTTTAATTGTTTAATAAGAAAGTCATCAATTTGATTTTAAATTAATTGGCCTAAATCATTATTATTACCTAAGATAAGTATGGAAATGTAATACAATAATATTCACTTAATTTGGTAGTTTTTTTGGTGTACATGGTGTGTAACATATAAGAAACTTCTAGTTTCGATTATCACATTATCTTAATCTCACTCTCGTATTATTTCTGATTGTTGTCAATTGATTTAATTATTAAGTGTAAGTATATTTTATGTTTTGCTTTATTTAAGATTTACAAACTCAATATAAGTAAACCTGATGGTGACAAATATGAGACAATTCTATGAAGCTTGTGATGTAGGCGAGACATCAGTCTATCAACCAAAGAATGAGTTTACTCTACAGCAATTCGCTTTGTTTTACTTTATGAATGTGAAATATGACTATTAAGAGTAAAGTATACTAGTAATTGATCATAGATATCTACGAAATATTGGTCGTGTACTTTTGGACCACGGAGTACACGATGGCTGGGTTAAGAATAGAGTACTAGGTAAAGACAACAAATCGTTTGATGAGGTAGTAAATCTTCATTAACTGAGATAGTTGGGAGATGTGCTACTTATACCCAACCAGTAGCAGTAGGTTAGAGGGAAGCTAGGGATAGCCAAACCAAAACATAGCATCGATCCATGAAGTCACTAACAGTTGGACTGGGTCACTGTAATGTGCATAGACTATTTGGTTGAGGCCTGTGTGATTATTTTAACCATTGGTTACAGACTTTTGATGACATGGCTCAAAATCGTTTGCAATGGCGCATGTACATCCATCCTTTATCTTCTGAACTCCTAGTAACATATTTTTTGTGCTTTCATTTCACTAGTTAATACTTTCTTCTCGAATCGTATCTTCGTTGCCTAATTTTTGCAGTCACCACTGATAATGTTACTACCACTTCTATTATGTAAATTAGTTTAACAATATCATCTCTCTGTGCTAATAGAATATGATAACTTGAACCGATGTACATACGTACCAGGTTCTACGTTGTAACTAAATGACCGACTACTATCAGGAAACTCTACATCGGTGACTTTAGTAGTTCGAAATAGTTAGGTTGTAGTTAGCACTGTGATGCAGAACGAGTGTTTCGTCCTACTTAGAACTAATCAGCTGGATGTATCTGGATCCAGGTGTTTATGTTCAAAGTGGAACTTGATCCTAGTACCTTTTAATTCATACACCATTGTATTATCCAAGGATCTACTGAGTGCAGGTAGTCACTAATTTGTTCATCTGGTACGACGTTTGAATTATACTCTTAACCAAATTTCATCTATTCTAACGTGATCGTGACTGACTGGATATGTCGATACAACCTGCACATATCTCAATACAGACTAATAAAAATTCACTCCTGAGTTTTGGTGCAGTTTCATTCTCTGAGCTGGATAGTTTGGTCGTGGAGCTTTATTTATTCTTCCGAATAACATCAGCATAACATTCAGGTGGGAATGAAGAGTCCAAATTTCTCCACATAGGACTCGCAGTTTGTCCTGTCGACCTCGATCTTGACGGGTTACTTTTACTCTATCATTATCCGCCTCTTTATTTTTAATATATCCCAATTTAATCTGACTCTTGGTCCTATATTGTCCATGATTCCTCTGATTGGTTGATAGTTTGGATCGATTTCGATGTGATTGTTGATTGCTAATTAACCTGGATACCAAGCCTCTAAGAATTCTCTGGTGTCCTTAGTATTCCCTCTATGAAAGGTTTCAACGCTATTCTAGTCAAATGAGTGTACGCAGTTGTCCGAATTCGTTTATATAAGCGAAGATATATCATGGAGCTTGACCGCTAATTGGTGTTCATGAAGGTGAAGATGAAGAAGGCGTTCACTTTGTCCGATATTTTGTTTTGCACAATTGGAACAGTTTACTTTGCAGATCGTGTTCGTTTTTTCTTTTTTCGTTATTTCTTTCTTTGGTTTGCATGGAATTGGTTGACTTGATTTTGCCAGTTTATGAGCTATACCTATTCCAAACAGTTTCTACAATCTGGTTGTAGTCTTATATAAGTTTTATATAAAACAGGATGACCCAGTTGTCGGTTCCTATATTTGATTTCGTTTCTGCTGATGAGTTCAGTTGATATATATCTTGATGAAGTCGCGTGGGTAACCGTTCTTTTGAGGGATAGTCATAAGGCATGTTTCGCAAATTTCCAGCGCTGCAAGTGTGCCGCAGTACATTCTGCCCTTCTTGAATAAATTTAGTGCACAGTTGATTTTGTGAATTTTTGGGTTGTTGCTACTGTAGTTAAGATTTTGATCTGCGTGGGTTGGCTTTCTATATACTTGAGGCTCCAGTTTTCTTGTGTCGATTCTGGTGATCAATACGCCCAAGTATGATAGTTTGTTGTTCAACTTCTTATCGACTGTTAATTTTATGTCATAGAAAACGTTGTTGATCAGACAGTAGGTGTTTTTCAGTTTGTCATTTTCGAGGATGACAAATGTATCGTCCACACAACGAATTCACATTTTTGCTTGGTCACTAGTAAAACCGAGGTTTCCAGTCTCTGCATTACTGCTTCTGCAATGTGCCCTAATATTGATGATCCTATCGGTGTTCCTTTAGTCTATACATAGATTTTATTATTGAATTTAAAATATTTTATTAAGCGTAAACTGATGAGTTTCAGTTGGTTTTGACTTTTGAGTTTCGTGTACCTTGAGAGATTTGTATCGTTTATAAGGATCATGGATAAAGTTTCCTTTTCTAAGCTTGGTTCGAGTGAGGTGAATAAGGTTGTTAAGTTGAATGATATCATCAGTTCTTCGTTGTTGATTTGAACCCGCTTAACGTTATCCAAGATCTGTATGAAAGATTTAATAGAGTGATTGGATGGATCCACTAGGTGCTTCAAGAATCATGAGATTCCTCTCGATAGATTGTATTGGAATTTCGAGGAGTGATACAATCAGACATAGTGGGATGTTTGATTTGTGTACTTTCGGTCTACCGCATAATTGAGGGAGCACTGGTTTCATTATCCATTGTTCTTGTTTTTATATATTTCCTGTTTTAACAAGCTTGTTGAAAGTCCTTAAGACTTGGTTATCTAACCTTTTGCTTGAATTTGTGTCCAATGACTTATGTACACTTATATCCACAAGTAGTTCCTCGGCTTTCTTGATATATTCTTCCTTAACCATAATTACTGTAGTGGATCATTTATCCGCTGAGATTATGACAATATTTTCTCTAGTTTGAAGTGATTTTAAGGCCTTTTTGTTTTTGTGCGGTCAGTTGAGTGTTGTCTTTCTTTCGCTACCATGGTTTTTCCCATTTCTTACTGAGTTTCTTCCTTTATTTCGGGCAGTTTTAGTGATGACTCTAGAGTAGAGAAGAATTCTGGTTTTTAAGTGTCACTTTTATTGTACCCCAATCTTTTTTTAAGTTTTTCTTCTTTGTTCGTCAGAAATTCTTTTGACAGGTTGACCACACAATTGTTTGCGTTTACTTCTGTGGATGGTTTGGAAATCTTGATTAGTTTTTTTTTGAAGGTATTACTTCTTTATTCTTTGTGTCGTCTGCTTATTATATCAATAGCCGTTGTCAAGATTGTCTAATATTCTAATGTGAATATTCTCTCTAGATGCCTCTCGTGGTCATCCATAATCCATTGGTATTTGTGAATCATGTATTGTACATCAGTCATCATCAAGTGTAACGTTTGCTCATGATGAAACTACCCACTTCAAAGTGTAAAGCACTTCAAAAATGTATTCACCTGGGCTACAAATATTCTTCAACACTTCAAGTACGAATAATAAATAGTAAAAGCATAACCGAAAACTAAATAGGAATAAATCAAACTTATTCTTCGCCTGTTTACATTATCAAGGTGAACTTTTACCTAGTAGTGGTTAAAAAAACTTGATATCAGTTGCTGGTGGTCAAAATGTTTATATAATTAAATGATCATAAATATGCAGTATTCAGCAATCTACCTGATGGGCATAAACAAAAAGCGATTGACGTAGAGCAGACCAAAATGTGAGGCCTTTTTGTTATTGGTGGATAAAGCTTAAACTCTCATAAACACGAAACTTAACCAACAAAGCTCGTCACTGTACGTCAACAATTGTTGAACACAATCCAATTAAATTTCAAATTTTGCTAGTGGGTAGAATCAGACCACTGCTAAAGCCAATTATCATTAACCAACCATATAACTACAGCGTATTTATTAGTTTCCTCTTAACTGTCTTCATGTGACAAGTGGCTACTTTGTTAGGCACACATCTATGTCAAGTTAGACTTTGACTATGGATGGTTTTCTGTCACATTTCAACATCACGAATTCTCAAGGTGTTTGAGGACCTTTGTGAAATTTACATAAAAGCCATTGAATAGAATATAATATTTACCAACTTGGAATAGAATACAAGCACCTGATAATAAACTTTAAATAGAGGAAATTCTTTCAAACAAATTAAAGACGACTGGAATAATCTTTTACGTAGATAAACAAAATTAATAGATATTCATGAGGCCATTCTATGTGTTTTTAAGTCAGGTTTCAATTGAAAGGCGTCATTTTACAATATATTTGTCAATCATTCTGCTTTTAAAATGTGTTCTTAGTTATTATTAAGCGAACAGTATGTGAAATTAGCGCAGTTCACCATAAACTTGATTGATGTGTTTTGTAAGTGTATAATCATTCTTAAAAATACCAGCTTATAAAAATGCCTTACTTACCCTTTCTGCTTGTATAGTCGGCAAATGGGCTTTATTGAATGTCCGACCACCATCAGTTGACACACTAAGCTGTACAGTTTGGTTTTTGGTATCTGAAAAGTGTGATGCGTAGAGAAAGTGTCCTAGTTTTATCGTTTCATAGTCTTGCTTTGTCTCCAAATCAAAAGAAATACTACTTTTATCATGAGGTCTGGGGATATCAACTTTAACTCCACGTGGGGCCCATACTCTTATAACATCCTTCAAAAGTTCAGTCCAAGTTAATCCAAAATCAGAAGATTTTGCTAGTATGTGCCTTTCACTTGCATCTGTTGTTTTTTAAAAAAATGAAAGGTTCAATTTATTAATGGAATACACTTGATTTTTCAGTTAATTATTAATACCAAGTTTGTTTGATCTATTTTTTTGTAGAGAAACAACATAGAGAGAAAATAAAGGTAGACAAAATATGGACAATTAATGTATGTCAGTGGCCATAAATGTTTACATGAACCTCAAGCAAAACTTGTCACCTATTCATCAGCAAGAGTTATTCGGTCCGCACCCAAATACGATGTCCTACTTAAAAAAACAGCCAGTCAGTCAGCTAAGACGTGGGACCAGGTACATATATGCATCAGTTCAAAATGTCACACCTCGTAAGCATAACAATATGAACACCGAATTCATAGAATCAGTTACTTCAATGGTAGTACTATATAAAAGAAAGATTGTATATAAGGATATAATACAGGAATAAAGAATGTGTTCATGGGAAGAAAGATATAGAGCAATTTTAATCTCACGAATCAAGGGAAGACAAAGAGTGTATACACCAACACCACTATGATTGATTCTGATCCAATATCTATTACTTATTCAAAAATCAAACAGTACTCACATTTTTGCTACACACGTCTATTAAAATGTATCCGATTCTGATGACTATGGTTTTTGTAGATATGCCGTCAAAGATTTAAGACATAATATATGTGATTTTTGTTAGTTCATAGTTACTAGCTCCTGATACCTTGACAGATTTATGTCGGAGTACAATAAAAAAAAGCATTACAGATATACAAGTGAAAAACTCTACGAAAAATGGGTAACTCAAATCTAAATGTAGAGATATTCCTTTATCTTTGGCTATGATTAATATTACTGTCATATGGCTACCTTATACTAACAGGAGTAAAGTGACCTACCGTTCCAGTAACTTTTGAAACTTGAGAGACCTGAATCCAAAAACTCCTAGAAGCAGTCAAGAAAAAGTTGGACCAAAACGCGGACCCATATTTAGTTGAGTAAACACTCTTTAAGAAGTCTTATTGAACAATGCTCTAGATCCTCTTAAAGTTGAAGCGATAATTTCAGAGTGCTAAATTTGGATACTCCGAAACATATCTAAAGAGAACCAACATAGTTTTTAATTTCCTACTAAAAAAACTTAAAATGAATAAATAATCATGTCTCACGGTTTAAGAGACTTTTGACTGACCTGATAAAAGCTTGCAGTAGTATTAGCAGTCCTAAGCATAATATTGAGGCCTAATTCAAAAACTGTATGTAGAGGAAGTACTTGAAAAGTATACGTTGAGTATTACGAATTTTATTTAACTGTACATTTTAAAGCTTGGGAGAAGTTTTGAGATTCACTTTTTTGAGAAATAATCCCAGCAGCTTAACCAGAGTTCTGTAGAGCAGAGCTTAATGTCTTTAAGTATATTGAAGTATTTTGAAACGACCTACTGAAACTTCAACTTTTCCGTCCCTTCCTAATCTTTACATATCTAGACCATTAAACTGAGATATTTGCAGTCTGTAAGTAATATTTGTGGAGGTTCAACAATTAAAGGCTCATACCGTTCCTTTTAAAACTATAAATACACAATTTAAAATTAAACTATAAACAACAATTTACGATTGAATGATGACAAGTAACTGAAATTAAGTCATTTGAGAAGTCATAAACGGACTTACTTTTACTGGATTGTGGATGATAAAGTATGTACACTGTTTCTCCTGGATCTATTTCATAAACAGACCTGAATAACGTAAGATTAGTTTGCATATAACTAACCAAAAGTAATCCACAACATTATCGTGAATGTTTTTCCATGTTTTACCGTTATCAAGTGACAGATATAAAATCTGAGTGACAGGCGTTATAAAAGTCAAGTGGACTCACCGAGGTTTTTTCTTCTAAAGTTAAAACCCATGGAGAGAGTCTTTCACGTGGATAAAAACGCAGCTGACCACTTAAGACAAATGGTACACTAGACCTTTCCCAAGTAGAACCTCCATCTTCAGTAACAAAAATCATAGACCTGGTCATATTTTCCACATCATAACATATCACAAATAGCTGAGCTATCCCTGAGAGAGGAATGGACTAAACTCACTTCTTTTGAATCTCTCTGATTCTGATGACGCTGAAGGCCATTTTCTCTCCGGATGTAAATACTCTCACCTAACTGCTGCGTAATTTTTGTGAACGTTTTACCGTTGTTGTCACTACATGGCATTAAAAAGTTTTCTTCTTACCTACGATATATGTCGGATGTTAGTCCAGGGCCAGACTCCCCCTCAGTCATCGTCACTAGTATTAAAACCTAATCATTAAAAGCACGAAAAACAAAAACTACCCCACTGTTTTCACCTGCCCATGTCAACTGAATCGTTTCTTTTGTATCATTGACGAAGTAGAACTACTAAAATTAATGCAACGAAAACTTACTACTTCCAAAGCTTTTCCGCTCTTGATAATGGGGTCGAATAGTTTCTGTTGTGAATCGCAAACATTGCTGCTAGAGCTTGCATCAAATGAAGAAATACTAGTAAACGTAAGCACGAACACAACAAGAAGTATAATCATATTGGATTTGAATAGCATAACACCATCCGAATATGTGCCACATTCAAGGTGAGAGTTTACTGAATTAAATGGTTATGGATTAGGTAAAAGTATTCTGTTAACAGACTTCTGTGCCATTTATGTCCCCGGATGGAGATTATGGTGTATTAAACAACCAGGGTAAAAATACTGACAAATTACTATGGTAAACTATGTCTATCGAACACTAGAAAAAACTACGCGCGCACTAATTAAAAGGACAGTGGTATTTTTCCTCTCTGAGTAAATTCCATTGTTTGGATCGTTTATTATGTATCACGACTACTGTTTTCACTTTAACTAAATTTATTTCAGTTAAAGTATTCGAGTAGAGTATCATTTATGTTTCTAAATTAGTTTGTCGTCGGTGCTTTTGAGTACTTTGTTTTCTATTGTATCTGTTACTACTTTTGGTTCTAACAATCTACAGTTTGCCACTTTTTTTGGTCACAAATCATTTTCGTCTCTGAGAATAATTTAGTCTAGTTCCTTTTTTTTAAAAGACCCCTGTTTAATGACTGGACAGTGCAAAAAAGCACTTGCCAACGTCCGGGCTGTCGTTATCCAGTTGAAAGCGGCATGTAGTGCTATGAGTGCAAAGGCTGGTATCACGAAGTTTACACGAACTTAACATCTGCGGCTTTCAAACAATTCAGTAAAAATGGCTGCCTATGGCTTCGTCAACAGTGCTGTTCGGATGCAGACAGCTTGCTAACCGAGGCCATCTCACTGGTAAATGCTGCAAAAAGTTTTTGGCAAGTGTGTTCAGGATACATCGAACAGAACTCGCTCTGTCGACACGCAAATTGTTATGAAGCAAACTCAGGTGATTTCGAAAACAGGTGACTCACACCGACCAGAGGAGGGAAAACAGTGTTCAAAGAGGTCTGTCTTAACCAAAAATTCAAGAAACGAAGTTTCATCGGTCCCCCGTCTTCTAAATGGTATTCAGCAGGAAACGCCTAGAAGCCGCAATCGCAAGGCTCGATCGGTTTCTAGCGGGAAAAATAACCTGACCTCCCAAATCGTCGACAACCGCCCGGAATCTCACAGTATGTTTGACGCAACTGTGGTTGCTTCTCCTAGCAATGTTGACGAGTGGGTACAGGTTGTAAGGAAGAAACAGCATAGCGATATAAAAAGGAACCCTACACCCGTAAAAGTAGTTGAAAAGTCGAAAGCTGATCACAGCAACAGATCAGTTATTTTTCATAGAATCGAGGAGAATGAGAGCTCTGAACCAAAAGCTCGTTTGGAGCATGACATTGTGCTGATAAAACAGTTACTTAATCAATTCATGCCTTAAAATATCACCGGGGTCACATTGCTAAAGGTGTGCAGACTAGGTAGTCTAGCAAACTTGAAACCAAATTAATCCAGACTGCTTAAAGTAGTATTCAAGTCTTCGAACGAACGTGATCTAATTTTACAGGATGGACATAAATTAAAGGATTCAGGAGTCTTTATCCGCAAGGACTTGCCGTTGGCAGATCGCGTAAAAAGACGGGAAGCCAAAAAGAGCTATAACTTAGGTTAGACGCCCGCAAAAAAGACATAAAAATTGTAAATTTTCGGGTTGTTAGGCTTCGACAGAAAATGATGCTGAAGCCACTCTGGGTGAAGCACGAAGTCACTTAAATAGGCTTCAGATCTGTTACACTAATGCCTGAAGCTTACTCAATAAGCGATAGGAACTAGATGTACAGATTAACTCCGTAAAGCCAGACAATCACCAACACAGGAAACTGGCTGACACAGTCTATAGATAGTATGGGACTTGATTTCGAGGGTTCCACGTTATTAAGGGCTGACAGAATACAAAAGCGTAAAAGAGGGGTGTGGCTTTGATATTAGGAATGCTGTCCCATTTGCCATTATCGACAGTGTAAATTAGTTAGTTGTCGCTTGAAATGCAAGGGACAAGAGCTGCTGATTGGTTTGGTCTATCTCAGTTCAAGCTGTGAGGTAAATGAGGTCCAGCTAAGCCGTCTCAATACTTGGTCACAAAGTGGTCGATTTCCAATCGTAGGGGACTTTAGTGCACCTACGGTAGACTGGGAAAACCTGCGAACTGAATCGTCAGAAAATTCCTTCGAGCAGGAAATAGTTGATGTGCCCTAGTGCAACATGTGAAGGAAGCGACTAGGTACGACCTGGACCTACTAGATCTTATATTGACTCACTATTAGGATGACGTGGCGAACCTCCATTACATGCCACTTTTAGGTAAAATTGATAAGTGTCAACTTTCGACTTCTATATAGCCGTCAATCAAGAGCACGCATTAGCTCAGTCCAAACCTAACGTCTGGAAAGCAAAAATATCAGATATCATGCACTCAGCATCGTTAGTAGATTGGACAATAGACCCAGAGTCCTCCATTGAAACGGCCTGGGACGCATTTCGAATTCCATACTTAAAAGTTACCATGCCTCACATCCTTTGGACTATACCAAAGGGGCCGAAAAACTCACCACCATGGTTCAGTAGGGAGGTCCGTATCCTTCTCCGTAAGAAAAGGAAAATGTGGGATAGATTTAGGTTACTGGGGACTGATGAGTCAAAATCTCAGTATCGAAAGGCTCGGAACAGTTGTGCCTCGACCCTCCGTAAGTCTAGAAAATTGTACGAAGGAAAACGTGTTAAAGAATCCATAGAATGTCCTAAGCGCTTGTATTCTTATATAAACCAAAGGACAAGGAGAAAAGGAAATATTCCTGCTCTATGGGGAGACAGTACTGCTTCATCATTAGTGGAGGACGACTTTGGTAAGGCTCAAGTGTTCTCGAACTACTTTAGCAATGTACATACCATAGAAGCGCCCTTCCCATCAGCGTATACAGATCCCCCCATACATACACTGGAAAGCGTGACCATTAAAGAACTCGATGTCTTCGGTCTACTAAATAAGCTCGACATAGGTAAATCCACGGGGCCCGATGAATTACATCCTAGGCTACTGAAGGAATTATCTAACTTCGTTTCAAGCCCTTTAAGTACATGCTTTAACCTATCCGTTACGCAGGGTCGTTTACCCAAAGACTGGAAAAACGCCATAGTAAGTCCTGTCTTCAAAACAGGTACGAAACACAAACCTGAGAATTACCGCCCCATTAGCCTAACTAGTTTGGTTATTAAAATGTTATAAAAGATTATTCAGAAGGAGCTGTTTAAGTATCTCGATAAAAACCGGATCCTTTCGGAGAAGCAGCACGGCTTCAGAATAGGTTATCCTTGTCTCACTAACTTATTAGTGGCTCGTGAAAGCTGGTGCTCTCTTAAGGACCATGTAGTGGCATTGGACAATAGCCACACAATCCACAAAGCTGTGAACACGAGACTACTCAGAAAATAGATATTCAATATTTAATTCGGGGAAATGCCTAACAATGGAGAAGGCGCGGAGAATGAATTGAATGGACCGGAATTGATCGAGTGGCATGACTCGGCCATACAGGCGTGGTCTCTGCTGAATGTTACCTTATATCTTCTATTCATATTAAATATATTGTTCTTTCTCTAGCCTAACCTTGTTCTACATAATGTATTGGTAATTGATACGATACAGTGAGTTGGTGTAGTCGATGGTGTGACTTCCACGTAAGATCTTATAGATTAGGCAGTTATATCATGACAAATCTACAAATTTAGGATTAGGTCTATTATTAGAGAAGCACTAATATCATAGTAGACCATAATTCTACAACCAAAAGCTACCTGTAGATGTCGCCTTCATTGATTTTAGTAAAGCTTTTGACAAAGTTCCACACAACCGGCTTTTATATAAGCTAAGAAATGTCGGGATTGGAGGCAATTTATTGATGTAGATAAAAGACTTCTTAGTTGGGCGTCAATAAAGAGTTCTTGTGAACTCAAAGTTATCTAGCTGGGAAAGTGTGCTTGGTGGAGTGCCCCAGGGTACAGTTTTGGGGCCAGTTCTATTCCTCTTGTATGTAAATGACCTTCCTCGTCTCCTATCATCATCGGTCTTGCTATATGCTGACTATGTCAAGATATGAAGAACGATACGATGTGTGTGTTGTGATGCATATCGGTCATCAAGGTATTGATACATTCACAATGAATAACACTGAGCTACCTGCAGTCCAGATACATAATGACTAAGGAGTCATCGTTAGCCAAGACCTAAAGAATACTGCACACTGCCTTGCAATACCCGCCAAAGGTTTTAGAACGTTATGGTCAATATGTAGGGCTTTTAATCATATTGACGATAAAACGTTTTTGACTTTGTATCCAGTGTTTGTACGTGCTAAAATTCAATAATGCATACAAGCGGCTAGCCCCTTCTTAGAAAAAGACAGCGAGCTTCTGGAAAAGGTTCAGAGAACAGCAACTAAGCTGATTCCCAGAATAGCGAAGCTTCCGTATGAATCTCGACTGGCCAAGCTAAACCTTTTCCCGTTGTCATATAGTGGAACTAGAGGCGACTACATTACAGTTTTCAAATTGCTTCGTGCCAAATTTGCACCTCATATGCCCTCATTTTTCTTGCATTCCAAAACAGAGAATTTACGAGGACACTCCAAAAAAGTTCACAAGCCCAGAACAAATTACTTGTCAGCTGACTATCGACTTTCCCTTCGAACCATCAACGAGTGGAATTTATTACCTCAGCACGTGGTTGAGGCTCCATCCGTCAACTCTTTCAAAGGAAAATTGGATCAACTGAGGGACAACCATTGCTAGGAATAACACAAGAAATCAAGCATCCTGTCCCTTTCAAACTGAATCTGTAACTAGAATCACTATACTAAGTAACGAATTCAAAAATTCTAAGACTAATAAGGAGTACTATGTTCGCCCTCAATCCTGTTTGCCGTTTTGAATCTAATTTCCGGTATTCATCGGATGAATAACGTTTGATATTTAAGAGGATGCTCCGGAGTGTTTAGAATGGGTAGCTTGTAGTGTCTGATATTGTAGCGGTAAACAAATCCCAAAAATAAATAGCTCCGTAAACGGTCATACACCCTGCAAAGAAGCATTTCACTTAAGTGATCTGTCTCTAGACCATGAGAGACGGATAACCCCGACTGGTGCTAGTATCCTTATTAGTATAGAAAGTCTTTCAGAAATTGCAGAAAACCCAGCAATCTTTTTTAAACTCAAAATCGACCGACACGAAAAACAATTTAAAAAACTTTCAAGCCGGCACGCGTTAACGGCAATCGTAGCCGGTGAACATAGCCGTCTGTTGTACGTCACAGATGTGAC